GTTTATACTAATCAACTGATTGTAATTAACATTGAATTCTCCAAACTGTAGTGAATATTAGTTAAGTGATTTTAGACAAATCTTTATATGTTTTGGTTATATGTTAAAAGAATGATTGAGTTAAAAAAAATTTAGACAGTTCTTATCTCACACTGGTTATGATCAAATTACACAGAACTTACTAATTGTTACATAATCTCATCAATGTTTATCCAAACACAGGACATGCAGGTCACGAATAAGCTAGAGCTGGAAGTTTCATGTCAATGTGTATAGCTGTTTATGAACTCATTACAAAGAGAAGACTTCATAACTGGAAGCATGCTATGATTGGTAAGAACTGATGCATATTTTACAGTGGCATGTTGTGACAGAAAATGTGCAGCCTTTTTATCTGATCTTAGAGATGTGTATAAATCTGGCACGTGGGAGCATATGGGTGGTGCTTCTGTCTTGTCAAGGCAATTGAGGAAATTGATTATGAATCTCATGGGAGACTATAGGTTTCCATGGAAGACACTGTAGGCATCTTGGCTGACACTAGTGCTGCTTCTATCTGTTCTACTTTTCGGAGAAATCATAATTGCTGGAAAGTAACCACTCAAGAGAAAATGGCTGTAAAAGTCTAGCTATAGTTTTAAACAAATCTTCATCAAGATATTCTGGTTTTACTACTTCCATGAGAGTTCTCCACAGATTTTGCAGGGTCCTACATGCATAAACATATTTCATCTTTAACGTTGTTCTCAACACAATATACACATTTCCATAGTAAATGTATAATTAGCACCAATTGAAATAAATAGATGATGTATAAGGTTATAAATAAGAGAGTTTATGTAAATTCGTGTCACTAAAGTAAAGTCGACTAGTTCATAAACTTGCAAGAGTTTATTTTAGATAAAAAAAATTATATAAATAATATCTTAATTTAAATAAGTCTACAAAATGATATAATTTTAAATAAATAAAATTTATAGATATATTATTCATAAAAATAAATATTATAAAACATAAATATTTGGATATTGTTATTAGTTTTGATGCATTTCATTAAATATATAATAAAAAAAGAATTGTAGCAATCAATTTTCTTAATTTTTCTCATTTTCAAGCTCGCAGAATCATTTCAAACTCGCGATTCTATATGATGCTACCGATTTCATAGTCAATTATACCAAGTTTATGCAGAAAACGAGTTTACTTCCGAGTTAACTTGGAAGCCATGTTTGATAACCATGTACAAGTCATTAATGTTGTGTTTGTAAAAGTTGAATTTAAAATTCCATATAAATAATAGAGTTTACCAACTTAAATTTGTTGGTTAAGTTAAATTTTTAATAAATTTAATGAAAATAATTCATGCATAACTAACTGTTTTTATATACCTTTATTTAGAAAGTACTATTAAAATGATATAATCTTTTGAGGTAGCTTATTCATTTATGTTTGGATAAATATTGTATAATAAATTAAAGCTAGTTTATATATATGATGTTAATACATAGAAAAATTATACCGACTTTTCTAAAATAAAATTTGGCTTATTTATAAATTAAAATTTATCTTTTACAATTTATTAAATGTTTTAGAAATGGTATGCGAGAGAAAGAAAGCCCCCAACATTTCCTCTACTGCGGGAGAAGCAGACCTGAGCCATGGGAGAGCGAGAACAGATGAAGAACAAAGGAAAAAACGGGTAAGAGAGAAACTCAAACTTTTATTTCTGTAGAAATATTTTTTCTTCTTCTATTCTGTAACACATTGAAAGCAAGAAAAGTGGAACCCTAAATATAGGGTTCAATGCAAAGAGGGGAAAAACAGAAAAACCTAAAACCTAACTATCATCATTAATTGATTACTGCATTCTAACAACCCAAAAAAATGAACCCCCTTAAAGAAATAGTTATCAACCCTTAAAAAAATATTTTAAAAAAATAATTTATACAAAAATTTATGTTATTCTCATTTTTTAAATTGCTCAAAAATAAGTGATTTTAAAAAATATTATCTGATCATGTATGTCCTGTCACTTTAAGGAAAATAACTATGAGAACAGTTATTTTGATTGCATAATATTCTGACTTTTACTTTGCTTTTTTCTGGATAAAATTAAAGGAAAAAGGAAAGTGCTTTTCCTTTCATTTTCCATGGGGAAACATTTATGGTAAAAAAAAAGAGCTAAACTCAAGTTAAAATGTAAAAAAAAAAAACTTTATACGTAATAATTCTTAGTTTTTGAATTTTGTATTTTGAGACAAGTTTTTCTTATTATATTTATTATGTTGGAGTGCCTGCAAAAGACACTCCCGCTCAAATCAATGACTTTATGTAATAATCTTGTAATCAAGATTTAGTTATCAGAATTCAAAGTTCAGTTCAAAAGTGACCTCTCTTGTTTGCCAAACAAATATTTATAAATTATAATGAGCTTACCATTAGGTCTGACTCATTAACCACCAATGAATGACAATATTAATTGTCCATAAATGACAATTATTTTTATTAACTCCCCGACAGTTATTAGTATTGATTACCTTAACGGCTAACTTTACCGATCGGTTCATTGACCTAAGAGGTATCATCGATCAGACTGATTTTACCGATCGGTTCATTGACCTGAGAGGTATAATCGGTCGAGCTGTTTTTATCGATCAGTTCATTGACCTGAGAGGTATCATTGGTCGGCCGACTCTTCTGCACCTTTACCGTTCGGTCAGCTATGAGCTCATAGTAACATGTTCAAAAAATTTTATTTCATTTTATTTGAAACGTATGGACAATGATCAATTTGATTTGGATTTGGGTTGAATTGAACGGATTGATTTGCTCTCGTCATTGCATATGTGATTTTTCCGTGGACGTCATTAGAAATGTCTTTTACAAGTTGTCATAGTAATCCAATTCTCTGAATTTGATTAAATACTAACTTTGACGTTAAATTTTATATTTTGTAAGTTTTTTTTCTATAAAAAATTGAATTTCCTGTTAATTATTTACGAGTTTTGCAAAGTCACACCAAATATTGATAAGAAAAGTTCTACAAAATATAAACAATTATAACAACAAAGAGATTGATTTTCCAAATCTAGAAATTATCGACATGAGTTTTGTTTTTCTCAATAAGGTTTTTCCTTTTATACATCTAAAAGTTAAATATATGAGAATAATATGTTTAAATATCCGACTATTAATAATCGTGTTAGGTCTTTGTTTCTTACATAACATTTTTAAAATACTTTCTTTTTATTATTTAAACTCAACAAAGATCGAAAACTTACAAAAAAAAATGCAATTGAAAATTAATTTAATGTTCCTTGTTGCAAGATATTCCGCCCGCCAGTGCAGACCTTAGAATAAATACAGAGTTTCTTTCATAGGAAATAATTTTTCGATCACGTAACTGCTTGAAGTTAAGAGAAAGAAAATATTACTTGTAAGTTAGAAAAATCATATACAAAATTGAATAACAACAGAAATATTAAAGTAGTAACTTCTCATTTCCATCTTGAACGTTTTATATAATTCCATGAAGTTAAATTGTAGTAACTAATATTTTACGTGTGGCCAACATAAATATTTATGATATTTTGTTGTTGTAAGATAGTTGATGAAATAGACTCAAATTATATAACAGATAAAATAAGAAAAAACTGTAAAGAAATAAAATGAAATTATAAAAAAATATGATAAATAATGAAAGATGTATACTATGGTCCCTCGGTTAAGCAATGGACCGATTAATAACTTCTTTTATCTCATGAAATGATTCATACACTGATAAGTTATATTATAAACAAAATTAAAAGTAAAAATAATTATATCAACTCAGATTATTACTGTTGAAATTGTTGAGGTTGTAATTAGGTCTACATTAATCCGAATCTCATATCAATATCTATAAATATAAATTTAACATTTAATAATTGGATAATTTTTTTTTACACATTTATTGCTACAATGTTCGAACAAACACTTACTTTAACATAAATTGTTTTTTACATGTAACACTCAACCAGATGGTAAAGAGATGACTAAAGATAAACATTTATCAAAGCTTAAAATTTGAAGACTATTTATAAAAGAAGACTTAACTTGGACATTATTATTAAAACTTCTACAATTCTCTAAAATCCTGATTCATTACCATTATTAACCAAAACTCTGAGTTTCTTTGTGTTAACCATCTGGTTTTATTTTGGTAAGAAAAATGTTCATGGTACAATTTTAGTACACAGAAACTAAAATAAAACTATGTTATAATAAAATATGAGTGCGTCATCTCGTACTGAATTTATGCTGTTGGGTCCTCATTTTCAAACAATTTAAAAAAAAAAGAATTATTTGCTTAAAAGGTTCAAGGGAGAGCAACTCTTCCTGAATTCCCTGTTTTTATGATTTCTCCGAAATAATTGCTAAAGATACTATAAAGTATTTATCTACAAAACAAAAGAAATTGTTCTATTTAATTATATTATGAATAAAATCTTTTCACTTTCTTTTTCCAGATTACGTTTTACGAACAATAGGCATACAAAAGTTTGAAAGTAGTGTGCTAGATCTTCGGCATCCAAATGGAAGACTGAACTTTCAGAAAAGAGGGAGGGAAAGGTAAAAGAAAACGAAAAGTTTATTTATTTATTTGAAAACAAATTTCTGAGAATGCTTCACCAATCAGAGACGTTGATTCTCTGTCTTTTTCACTGCGCAACAGATCTGAGCCGTCGTTTTCTTTCTACAGTCTCAGATTCGATCCACACCCAGCCCCACCCCTTAATAAACGGTCATTAGTACAAAAATTTCCCCAAGATCCCCGACACACGAAGAGCATCACCGTTCGGAGATTTTCAGGATCGAGGATCATGGGTGTGATCAAAACAAAAAAACACACAAAAATAGAAACAGTAGTACAATTAAACACAGCATAAGTAATAAACGAACGTGTTCGACCTTAACGGCGTGGCGAACCGTATATAAGCGCGTTACGCGTGAATTGAAGTGCGCCTCTTTTTTATTTAATTAATTTCAATATATATTTCCCTCTTCGTATCATAAATATTCATTCAATTCAATGCACATCGTCGTCATCTATTACGATTGTACCTTCCCTATGTGAACAGTGATTTCACCTCAACAACCCCTTTTTTCCTTCTTCTTCTTCTTTGCGCTTTCTCAATTCAGTTGGCGCTGAATCGAAGGTGGGGAACTTCTTATCTCTCTTCTTTTTCATCACCCACTTCCATTGGGCTTTTCAATTTCTTGTTCACTCTATTTTTCAGTGTTTCCTTCTCTGCATGTTATTGGATTGGACTACTTGGCGTGGAAAATATTTGGGTTTGTTTAGTTTTAGATTGGTGCAAGCGGTAATCTCGAGGTGTAGGGTAATAGTTGTTTGATCTCACAAAAATGAACGAAGAATATGGAGGAGTGTTTATACTTTTGTGTTGTGATTTTTTATTTGTGACGCATAAGATCCACGGAGGAGGCGCATTTTGATTCGTTCAAATTGAAAAGGAGAGCAAAGTGGACTGTCTTTCCTTCGATGATGTAATAATATTGGGTGGTGTTCAAAGTTGAAAGTTGAAAGCGATTATCATATATAGTTTTATAGTACTTTTATGAACAAATCCAATTAGTTAACTTCTTATTGGCCAATGTCTGGGAAGCTATCCTTGCGGGATTGTATATTACTATTGGCGTTTAACGTGGAGAATGCTTTCACTCGGGTTTTTTACAAGGGGAATATTGTATACTTTCTTGGTCATTGCATTGATTTGCTTTTCTTTTCTTTATACTTGTATGAAAGGATGTTGAGGGAGGGTTTCAATTTGGTCCAATTAATGTCGATTAAAATTTTGAATTTTAAATTTTCATGTATGGTGTGCAGAATGTAGGGTATGCTTGTTTATTTGATAAAATTTGCATGCTAAATTGTTATGACAGTTCTGTTATTGGATTTAAAAAATTGAACGGACAAGTTAGAGTTCATTTTTTTGGTGGTTATCTTTCTTCTACATGAGAATTTACTTCTACACATTTAAATTTAGGTCCTTAATGTTAAACTTTGAAAAGCTGAATCTGCTCTTGTAGTGATAATTGTATTCCTTATATTATGATTTTTTTCCTAATTAGCTATATGTTGTTGTATTTGTTATATATGCCATGCTCCAATCTCTTAATCTAAGCATATTTGTATAGGTGGGTTCTTTCTGGTTTGGAATCATTTCAACTTTGTCAGAAGAAAAGGCTTTTGGTTCCTTGTCATGATTAATGTTTAGAGATGGTTTTATATGAGCATTCGGATGTTTTTCAGTGGGGTCTTAATCTTCTTGATGGCGACCCTGCTTATAGTCCTGGATACTATGGCAACATAATTCAACATGATACTGGAGACATCTATAATGGACACTACTTCCATAACCAGTATGATAATGAATGCGACCATGTAGAGAATGATGAGATCATTGCCCGTACACTTCAAGAAGAGTTTTCACAGCTAGAGATTGCTGAATCTTCAGGATATTTTCAGCAAGGTGAACAACAGTTCCATGTTCCTGAGACTCAGCCTCCATATGATTGGCATAACTCTTCAATGATGAACTACTGTTCAGGAGGTATCATTAAAGATGTAAACTAATTTTTCTTGGGTATATTTGGGATTTATTTATCTTTTTACTGGGTATTGGTTTATTCAATTAAATATTTTGCACATGCAGATCATGATTATGCTCAAGAAGCAGTTGGTGATGGAGAACCCTCTAGTTCATGTTCTAGTCCTTGTGAAACAGAGGAATATTCATTGGAGCTAACTGACAATTATCCACTTGATAATGAAGTTGGGAGGAGACTGAGTCAAATGATACCAATTCCCGTATGTTAAGCCTCCTTTGCTTCTGTAGATTCCTTTTTGGATCAGCTATTGAAGCAATAAATAGATATAATTATGCTTTTTAATGCTCGTTAGGTACTAAGAAGCTAATTCACTTGTTATACTTTTGTCAACTTATAGTGATTTTTTGTCTGGTTCACATTTTCGTTTTATTAAATTAATTGGTATTTATAGTAAGAAAGTCATGATAAGTTATCGGTTGCTGAAAGTCTGAAACATTTAGTCCTGCAGATCATTATTTTTCATGCTAATTGATGAGTGAAGCAACTTCTGGGTTAAGTCATCTACCATACAGTGGTCTTTTCAGTAGAACAAAATAGATGCTGAATTTATCTAGTTTTCTAAAAATGTGGTTTCACAAGCACTCACTTTTAAAAGTTTTAACTTTATTTTTTATTTTTCCTTTTTCTTTTAATGATGAACTTCATCCCTTCATTGGCAACCTACTGCCTTTCACTTGTAGTATATTTTTAAGAAAGTTCATTTCTCTGGATCAGTTGTAAGACTTTTGTATTTGCATGCAATGCTTAAAATGCCTTCATTTTCTTGTTTAGCATGTTCCAAAAATTAATGGTGAAATTCCTTCAATTGACGAAGCAACTTCAGATCATCAAAGGCTTCTGGATAGGTATTAGTCACAAAAACTTAATATAATTGTTAAAATGTGAATCATTTTTCTCCAGTAACTAAGTATTCACTATTTTCTTTGTTTTTTTGACGTATGCCACTTTTGCTTCTTTTCTGTCAGTAAAGCTTTAGCTATTGTCACATACGGGCTTCATTTCGAATTGTTTTGTTGTTTTTGAATTTGTAAATAAATCAATGGTTAAAAAATTATTGGTTGCATACATTTTTCTATCTGATGTACTTTTGACATGCCAAACTAAGTTGTCAAAATTTCAAACAGATTGCAGTTATATGACTTTGTGGAGAACAAAGTACATGGCGATGGTAATTGTCAGGTGTGTAACTCATATTCATTCTATTTTAATGTTCTGAAAATCCATTGGTCAGAGCAGATTTAATTTGTTTTAGAATGTAATTATTGAGAACTTGAGAAATATCTATTATTTTTATGTGATTACCACATTATTCTGAATATCAGTTTTCAAACGGGTTAGTTTTCCATTTCTGAAGTCATTTGCTGGAGGTTTCTGGTCTTCTATTGTTCACCATCCTCATATTTCATTTCTAACCTAGTAATTCACAAACACAAAGCCTCAGATTTTGAGCAGCCAAAGCCCAATACAGTTATGCTCTTACATTGGATGAGCTACACGTAACTGCTTGCTCAACCTACCTTGAAAACTTTCCTAATCACATAAAAATAATTTATATTTTTCTGCTGTATCAATAGTTTGAGTAGTTTAGTTTTCATGTAATTTCATTATGATTATTCCTCTTTAGTTCCGAGCACTGTCTGATCAATTGTATCACGCACCTGATCACCACAAGTTTGTGAGACGACAAGTTGTCGATCAGGTTTGTTGCTTGCTGTATTATGTTTCTCTTTTCTTTTATGCCTATCAGGCTTATAATATCTGCTAATAGGTTTGTGCAATTATTCTCGGATTCTTACTTTAGTTGTGTTTTTAACCAGCTTAAATCTAACCCAGAGATTTATGATGGATATGTTCCCATGGAGTACGATGATTATTTGGACAAGATGTCTAAGTAATAATCTCTCTCTCTATCTGTGTGTGCGTGCATGCACCCTCGAACAAGTGAGTTGTTTGTGTTTTGTTAACTGACAGACCCTTTTTTGCTTGGTTTTATCCTAAATGGAACTAGGAGTGGCGAATGGGGTGATCATGTTACTCTCCAAGCAGCTGCAGATTCGGTATGACTGCTGCAACCTATCACTCTTCCATGTATACTTTTCTGTCGCACTTCTCTGGTCCGGTTATTATTCAATTCTCTGCACAGACAAAATGTTTTGTCAAACATATAGAAATAATGTATTGATGGTTATGCTTTACAATTATTTTGTTAGTCATCATTTTTAATATTTCTTAGGAGTAGATAATTGTATTTAGTTATGGATAACCTAGCTACTGTATCTGCTTATAAACTGAATCATTTGTCGGATGTTCTTATAGTTTCAACTGCCATACCCTTTCATATTACTAGGGTGTTAATGAATATAGTCTGTCAATGTAGGTTTGCAGTATTTAAGAAATAAAAAATGAATTTTAAGAGTATGTATATTATTTGAGACATTGTCTGGTAGAGTTTGTTAATCTTCTCGCCATTTTTAATTTTCCATCAATTACATTCTGTTTCTGTAGACATTGTCATTGCAAAGTTTACAGTAATATTTGGAATTGGCTATGAAAATTATATGCCATTTTAATTGTATTAATATATTTGATTTTCTTTTTTCTTTTCCCTCCAGTATGGTGTGAGAATATTTGTGATGACTTCTTTCAAGGACACCTGTTGCATAGAGATACTTCCTCATTTTGAGAACCCAAAAGGAGGTTGGTTTTCTTTATGATGAGTCGGGGGAAAGGATTCTCCTTTAACTCTTTTTTCTTTTAATATTTATTCTTCGCTCTCATCTTTTTAATCCTTTTCTTTTTCTTCCTTTAGTTTGTTCACCTCACATTATTTCTTGAATCTTTCTGAACCTTGATCACAATTTAACCTCATCCTTTTTTCCCTTTCAAAGGAATTTTGTACATGCCTTTACTAGGATTCTATAATTTTATCTGTTTCTATTGTGTTGGAAATCTTAAAGATAATTGTTTCAAATAATTTTTCATACTCACGAGTTGTGATAATATTTTTTGTCGGGTGTCATTAGTAGATTTTGCATTTTTCTTTGGGTATTAATTATTTTAAGATAGTTGTTTCAGTTTCATCATATGAACAACTTGGCTAATTTGTCTGTTTTGTTGCAGTGATTTTCCTGAGTTTCTGGGCAGAGGTACACTACAACTCCATTTATCCCCAAGGAGGTATTTTTCATATTTTAATTGTCTCAAACAAACTCTGAAATTATTTGAATACTTGATTGAAGTTTGTTATAATAGATACTTGGTACATGAAGCTTCTTTGTGTTTGAAAAAATTTACTCTGACAACCTTAATAAAATTTAAGGTTGGATATATGTATATATTATTGATGACATGTTTGGAGAAACTTTTCAACGAACACACACTTGGTTGTGTTGATAGTTTGTAGGATTTGAACTCTGCATATTAAGATTCCAATTTATACCCTCGTTTTGGATGTTTATTTATTTGTCAAAAATTTTGGTTATTATTGGTTGGCTAATCCTGTGTATGTTTTTCCATGGTGATCCAGATATACCATCAAATGAATCTAGAAAGAAGAAAAGGTGGTGGAGCTTTGGCAGCAAGCATTAGAGTCTTAGCTGAGCCAGTGAGCACACACCATTTTGAACCTGTACAATTTTCCTTGTTCAGGAATGAATTTATATCTCCATGTTTTAGCTGCTTATTTTTTATGATTAATTTCATTTACCTCTTCTATTAATTATAATCATAAAATTGGGTCTGCTCACTTCACACAGTTTCATTCCAGTGACATTTCAGATGCTTTGGGTAAGAAACAAAACTTTATACATAAACGATTATACATTAAAGTTGATACGATGAATGGTTGCTTTATACAAGTGTTTCCATCTTGATTACGCTTACGAAAGTGTTTGCTATGTTAAAAAATCACTTTAAAAGCAAGTTATAAAAGCTTGGGATAATAATTCTCCTATCCAACATTAGACATGTTTATAGACATTCTTAGTAATTAAGAGCTAAAAGGTGATCAACTTCCTACTCTATTTGAATAATTTTTTTCATAAACACTTAAAAAAGGCTAAAATAAACTTATAAATTCATTTCTCTAAAAGTTATATTGTTTAATTTCTTCGGAAGTTAGAGATATATAAATTAATGACTTAATTAAGTATAAAGTTCATGATAAATTTAAATATTTTAAATATTCTTTTATTGAGTACTCAAATGTTTTATATTTTTCAATTGAATTTTTATTGTTTAATTTTCTTAATTGGATTATGTAATTATTGTAAAGTGATATTGTTATAAATGATTTTTATTACTTTCATTACAAATATGTTGAATAATAAGGACTGATTTAGTAATGTCTTAGTAAATACAGTGACAAAGACATTCACTTGATTGTTGTAGATGAACATAAAAGTCAATGGAAAACATGATAATCTTATTATGCAACGTATTCTTAATTAAAGTAATACAAATTATATCTTATTTTACCGCAATAATATTCATAGATTAATCATAAAATTTTACATGTAAAGATAAGTAAATAAGATAAGGTAAGAAATATGTTAAACTATTAAAAAAAGTTAAATAAAAAATACAAATATTTTAAGTAGTTAGATCAAGAAAAATTGATAAGAGCTCAATTAAAAATAACAAAATTTATAAGAAATTTGAAATTAAGCTTATATTAATTTATTAGATAAGTTTAATTTAATTTTTTTTTTAATTTCTAAAATGTATATGAAAATTTCATTTACACGAAACTTAAATAGATTAGTTATATTTTCTGAGACAATGAAATTATTCATGATAAAACATGCCGAAATGATTTTACATTAAAGACTAGTAATAAAAGGACTGATAAATTGATAATTAATATGAATTTCAAAAAGCTTATTAGCCGATAAGACGAGCTTGCTATATATTTGAGTATCGTTGGTAGTAAAAATTAGAAAAAGGAAATATTAATAACAAGGAGCCGTCACAATACATAAATGAAAGAATACCTACTTTTTTTTTTAAGCACTTAATATTGCATGCCAAAGGCACCAATATATGCATTTGGTAATATTTCTCATAAATTTAAGTTGAAGAATAATGAAGGTGCAGTGATGATGGAGGAAGGTGATTATGATGGTTAAAGATGGAGAAGGAAATTATTACTTTGAAAAATTGAGAAGGTGTGCAAAAAATATTATGGAGGTGCAGGAAGTAAAAGCCCTTCAGGAATTAAAAATTGGGCTTCGGCGGAAACTATGGGTGTCTTTTTTATTTTCTTAAAAAAAAGGTATTTCCTCCGTGACAATAGGGTTACACTTAATGACATAAACAGAAAACTAGAAAATAAAAAAGGCCTTAAGCTTCTTACTTTTTTTTTTCTCTCCAGAGATATTTTAATTTTGTCAACATTATCTATTGCAATTGCAATTCCTCCATAGAAACTGGAAATTGGAGACACAGTTCATACAAAGGGAGAAGAGAAGAAAGTAATTGAGTGTGTCTAAGACCATGTTCTCTTCCTCTCCACCGTTTCCTTCCTCTTCTTCGCCTTCAGGTAACCTTCTTTCAATTGAAAATCGAATGATTTTGTTTCCCTTAGATATTCATTTCACAAATGCCTCTGTTTTTCAAATTATTTTCTCACAAGCTGTTAGTTGAGATAGTGTAAATTGAGGGTTTTACGGGTACTATACCTGCTAAGTAATTTTCTCGTTCTACCGTCTTGTGGGATTTCATTGAGTTGAAAACTGTGTGCAGTTATGATGCTTCATGAACAAGCTGCTCCAGCAGTTGCATCCTGGTCTTCTAGTTCTACAGCTCGGCATTTTCCTACCTCTGTTCTCTTACAAGAACAGCGTGAGGAGTATAGGCCCCTACTGCACGCGTATAATAAGGAGGTTCGTTTTTTTTTTTAATATATACCAATTTCTGCATTCTTGGGCTTGTTTATAGTTTATAGAAGAAAATAAGAAAAATAAATAGAAATGAAAAAAAGTTTCTCTATAAGCTTAAAATAAACTAGTGTACAAGTTAAAATATAAACTTTTTAGAGGATTAATATAAAAAGAATTTTAAAGATTGGCGTCTGTATAAATTAATTGTAACTTGAGATTCTTTTTGCATTTTTTCTTTATTTTCTTGTCCTAAAAATTCTTTTAGAGATATTTATATAAACAGACTAATAATAAGAGTGTTTTATAAAATGCTAACACTTTATAAATTAATTTTAACTTGAGATTTTTTTTGCATTTTTCTTTATTTTCTTCTCCTAAAAATTCTTTTAGAGACATTTATATAAATAGACTATTAATAAGAGTGTTTTATAAAATGCTAACACTTTATAAATTAATTTTAACTTGAGATTTTTTTTGCATTTTTTCTTTATTTTCTTCTCCTAAAAATTCTTTTAGAGAAATTTATATAAATAGACTATTAATAAGAGTGTTTTATAAAATGCTAACACTTTGTATGCTTTAAACATCCATGTTCGGTATTTATCTAATATCTATATTCTTGGATATATTATCGTTTCCTGAAGTATCCAAGCCTTAAAAACAGTTAGGAAGATCTAATATATCCACATATAAGACATAGAAGCATTTACACTATAGAAACATGGAAGCATTGACCCTTGTTGAGCATAAAATAAAAGCTTTCTGATCTCAACAAATCATATTATTTCTATTTGTAAGCAGTAGGAAGTGATGTATGACTTATAATTCTTTGAAAGTAAATTTTAAGCTTAACCTAATCTCAGAAAACCAACTTGTAAAAAGATATTTACATACATTTATATATTATAATTTTATTTTGCTTTCAATATAGTCCAACCAGTATGTTATATTCTTAATTTGGATTTGTGGGATTGCTATTATATATTTATTATGTTTTATGGATTTTTGTGCATATACATGTATATTCTGTGTATTTTTGGAATTATCATATTACCTTAATGGATGTGTATCACATATGATACAAGTATCATTTATGTGCTTCATAGTCTTTACTTGTTTTCTTAGAGGGGCTTTTAATTTTTTTGGATGTAATGATCCCTTTTTTTGTTCATGTTAACAACTAATTCATTACCCCTTTGCTTTTACTGAAGGCAACGTTAAATACAAGGCAGATGGATATGTCCTCAGTTCAAGAGAAATGCAACACAGGAAATCCTGATCAGTTAGTGCATGATTTTGTTCACCAGTTGCATCTCCGGTCTCATTTACAGAACATGTAAAATAAATTGAATTGCAACCTCATGTTAACTTCATCTGTTGTAATTGCTAAGTTTTTGCATGTCCAAGGTTGTCTTCTTAAAGGGTGCATGTACCTATTGCAGACTGACTTGTTATCCTACTAGGGAAATTGCTGCTTCTTTGACTCTTCAGCCTGTTGATAACGATTCAGAGAGGCCTGCAGATGGTCTGCCAAGGAATGCGGTTTCTCTTGCTCAGCAAGCTTTGTCAGCCTCAAAGCAAGCGGCTTCATCAGTTGGAGTTGATGATGATGATGATCCACTTTCTTTTGGGTTAGTTTTATCTTTCTCATTGCCATTGACATCCTCAATTTGTTTATTCTGTTTATAGGATAATTTGCTTTTGAGAGTAATGGCTAAAGTATGTCATTCAGTTTGGCCTCCACAAGTTTGGCTGACTCTTCACTGAAAAGGAATAAAATTGTGAGATCAACACGGATTATAGAAAGACGATCTAAACAGAGAAAAGCATCAAAGTCAAATCTTCTTGACGAAGAAAGTTACCTTGACAGAAAATCTTTTGTACAGAGAAAGCTACGTTTAGAAAAGAAATTAAATGAAGGATTTGATCAAAATGACCCCCTGCGCATGTTCTTGTCGGGTCCTGAATCAAGGCAACTTTTGACCCGTGAAGAAGAGTGTCAATTGATTACTCAGCTTCAGGTGTCACTCGAAACTCCATATCTTTTTTAAATGCACGTTATGTTCTATGAAGGTTATTTTTCCATAACGTAGAATGTTTAACAGGATTTCTCAAGATTGGAAGAAGTAAAGATCAGGCTTCAATCTCAGTTAAGACGGGAACCAACTTTAGCTGAATGGGCTGATGTCTTGGGCCTTAGTTGTTGTGCCCTGCAGACACAGCTTCATTGTGTTAACAGAAGCAAAGAAAAGCTGTTTCATGGCAATATGCGCATGGTAGTTCACATTGCTAAACATTATCAGGGACGTGGTCTCAGCCTTCAGGACTTATTTCAGGTATAGCCTCTAAGAAATTAAAAGTCGCCATTCCCCACTATCAAAGTTTTTATGTCTGGACTGTTGCATAGTTGTTATTGTTAATTCTTAATACTTCGTTTTCCATGTATGGCTTGACATTATGTTGAACAGAAAAACCATAAGATAAATATCTGGCAAAATTTGATTTGGCTAAAGGATATCTTTTATTTCTTTTGAAAAATGTTGCAATCATTATCTTAATACATAATTAGCCACTACATCTTGGCATTCCTTTCCTGGTGACATTTTAGGAGGGAAGTACGGGTCTTATGAAGAGCATTGACAAATTTAAACCAGGAGCTGGTTGCCGATTTGGTACTTAAGCATACTGGTGGATAAGGCATTCAATAAGGAAGGCGATATTTCTGCATTCCAGGACTATCCGTATACCGGTAAAAACAATGTGTATATTTCTTTATAATCTAGTTAGCCAAATTTAACCTAACTCCTTCTGCAGTGTCGTTATTATTTAAATTGTTGCATATTGACTAATAATAAATAACTGTTACTTATGCATTAACTTTTTAATAATATATCATCTGTGTAACAAGCAACAACTCTATTTACACAACATGGAATGATTATTTGATCAGGAGAATTTGTATAGACTTTTGGGCAAGGTCATAGAAGCAAAAAAATCATTCATTCAGGAGGGAAACATTAACCCATCCAAAGAAGAATTAGCAAGAAGGGTGGGAATTACAATAGACAAGTTGGAAACTTTACTATTTGCTTCAAGAAATCCAATTTCCATGCAGCAAACTGTGTGGGCGGACCAAGAGACAACTTTCCAGGTAAGGCCTTTAAGTAAATTTGTTTTTCTCCTGTGATATGATTTATTAGATCTAAAATTTAAAAACAGGGAAAATAAAAGTTCTACATTCTTTTAACTGATTAACATATATTAAAAAAGTTGGCTAATTTAGTTAGTAACATTAAATTTGTTCATAATTGTAATTGTTTTCCATTTACCCTTAAATAATTTTCAAAACAGAACTCGAAATTCTCTGATATTCAAAACAGAACTCGAAATTCTCTGATATTCATAGGAGATAGAAAGAGACAATGACATTATTATTTATGGACTAAAATAATGAAGAATATTTTCGTAAAAATTAATTCATGTAAAGGAGAACGTGAAATAAGTCTTGTAGAAAGGGACAAAAATCTAAAAAAATGTCGTATATTTAGGAATGGAGTGAGTACGTCGGAAATAATGAATAGACTCTTGGTCACTGAACTCTATTTGGTTCCATATTAAAGTTAATCCCCAATATATATGGGCTATGTTGACTCAGAGACTACTGACTGTCTAAAATTCGCTTGTATTGATTGAAGTGGCTAGTCATTTGCCTTGGTTGGGAATATTACATAATCTTTTTCATGTGCTCCCTATATTTGATTCGAGCTTGTGTGCTAGTGTCCATCAATCTCTTCCGTTAAGTTGGTCTCCTAATGTTGGAGGATTGGTTATGGTTAGAATAAGCCCTCTTCCGTTATTGATCCCAATTTTATTACGATTGCAGGAGATTACTGCAGACTCAACAATCGAGATCCCAGATGTGTGTGTTTCAAAACAGCTAATGCGGAGGCATGTGCACAACCTCCTAAATATGTTAAGCCCTAAAGAAAAGAGCATAATCAGGCTAAGATTTGGTATTGAAGATGGCAAGGAAAAAACGTTGTCAGATATTGGCAAGGTTTTTGGTTTGACCAAGGAAAGGGTCCGACAGTTGGAGAGCCGAGCATTGTCCAAGCTCAAGGAGTGTCTTGAAAGTGAAGGACTTGACGCATACATAGACTTGCTTATATAGACAAGTAGACACCAAGATTATGCAGTTCATCTTACTTCTCTGTGACATTTTTTTCTGGCCAAGTGCAAAAGCAAAATGACTAGATCAAGCAAGCTCTTTGAAGAGAAAGCTGACACCGTGATAATTGAGGATGAACCGGGTACCTATTTGGGATTGAAGAAAATTGAAGATCTAAAAAAGCTTGTGCAGTTTGTAAAAATTGAGAAGCCAAATCAATGCCAACGAAAAGAAAAACATATTTTGATTTAAACTGCTGTAATATATAGGTGGAATCACATTGGATTTTTTATTTGCTTATAAATGAAGAGAGAGATATATATTGCACTGGAACGAACTAAGCTGTATCTTTTTTACACAGGAGAGGGAGCTCATAATACCAATATAAGCTGTAGCATATCAACCATTTCAGTATAAATTACGAGAAAAAGAAGCTAACAGGCAATTTAGATAATCGATATATCTCTCTTTAAATTCATTTATACAAATCAATTTATGGTTAAGAGTCTACTTAAACAAATTTCTTCCTAAAGGTTTTAGAAGAAAAGAAAGTATGAAAAATATTAATTCGAATTAACTTTTTCATAAATTAAAATCTGTTTGTAGGCATGTTGGTTTGTAGAATATTTTTTTAATTATTTTAAAAGAAGTTAACTTAACAAAACGATAATTTTAAGTTATGCAGAAGTTCATTTTATTTTCTTTTTCTCTTTAAAGTTTATGTATAGAAATTTGTTCAAGCATATCCTAATGACTTGTAAACATGGTAGGAGTTACATAATTAAAAAAAAAAATGCTATACAAATCAATTCAAAAAGTTAATTATGAACAAAAACTTCTTCTGAATAAATTGATTAGTTCAAAAGAACAAGTGCTCTAAAAACCCAAATGCCTTTTGCTACCAGAAAAGTTTGCTTTTGCAAATTTCATGAGAAAAGGGGATATGTGGCTGCAGATCTTTTCAATCCGTATTAACTGAACCTCTACAAATATATATGGTAGGGTTTATAAGTTTTACTACTAGAGTCATTTACGCTTCTACCTAAATACGCTTAAAAAAAATTATACTAACTAGATTTTTACACGCCATTTCTTCTGGTGGGGCTAGGTATTTTATGAGATTTTAAGTTCAAATTTTGTTGCTGTCATTAGGAAAGCAAGCTTCAGAAGAAAAAAAGTATGTTTTATAAAAGTAATTTGCCAGTTAATGAGAAATGATATAAGCACATGCAGAACAACACGAATTAATTATTAAGGGCCTGATTGATTTAGAGCCTGGAAAAATTGCTTTTAATAAGACTGGTTTTGATTCGTTGACATATGTCCTTGAATTAATCAGAACCACACACATGCATTAAAAAGAGCACCTTTTTTTTTTATTGAAAACTATGAGATATTTCTTCCTTTACAAAACAAACGGATTAATTTGATATGGTAAACGACATGTGAGTGACACATTAGCGACACTTAAACGACAAAATGACACATGTGGAAGGAAATGAACAAGTGGCTTTGCAAATAGCACTGCTTGGTTTATTTTCTTGTATCTTTCTCCAGAACTAGGACTTATGTTACATCCTTAAAACGGAAACGTATGAATCTTTTTTAAAGAATGACGGTGATGATCATGAAGTTTAATTGAGTTAGATTACGTTAGATGAAGACCTCTCATAGAAAAGGTATCTTGAAACACAAAAAAGTGATCAAAGACAGGCTTAACACAAGATAGGTCCCGTGAAGTGGACCTCTGTTTAATTAAATGTTGACGTCACGAAATAAAACCAAAACCCAACCTGTGCATCTAACTTTATTGTCTAATTCCATTCTCATAATCTCTTTAGCAAAAATAGTAAACGGGATGCTAAGTTCTTGATACAAGCATAGGTACAAAGCTGTCAACATTCACCAATCCCTTCAGATTTTGCTTTATGATATCATTTTAAGGGTACACTGCAGGCACGAAAAGGAACACGGTGACCCAAATGAAGCTATAATTAAGTTCATAAACAATCGAAGTTGCACCCTTTTCACTTTATGTTCTCCTGGCAGTGGAAAATGAACAGAAGAAAAAGAAAGGAATCTGGAAATTCCAAAATGTGAATAGTTGTGCACGCCTTAGACATGATGTAGCAAGTGTGAGCAATGACCCGGACATTACATATGTATGCTTGATGAAGGAAATTTCATGTCACAATTTCCCCAAACAACATTGAAACAAGAAGAAAAGATAACCTCTATTATGCTTACACCCACAACATTTTAAGAACAAAAAACAATCCTTAGGGACCTCACAGACACTATAGATGGGTCGTTTCCGCTACCTCTGTCTGTCTTATTGCATATATGAGGCATACACATAGCCTGGACCAGTGCTTGTGTCCTTCCCAGTGGGCAAGTATGTTAGTTCTAAGTACTCAATCCAACGTTAGCTTTTAATCCCACAAATCTAATATAAGGTTATTACTATATTGTCCAATTTAACATCACATTCTTTTGTTTTGTATCTTATCTAGTATTTATAAAGAATAAGATGAGAAACTTGTGCATGAGAGTAAATCAGTTATTTGATTTCTGTTCCTTTTAACTTTATCCCTCTAGGTCCCTCCCTAAAAACAATAAAAACATTGAGATTGGAGGAGGAATTAGTAGCTAGGAGGGTAAAATATGTAGCAACCTTGGCCCATTCTATTTTCATACGCTTCTGACAACTGGTGGTTTTGTAATAGTAACAGTCCATACTTGATCTAGAAGACCCAGAATTACTAGCTTCCCATCTTGCCCAAATAGATGTCTACTCTGCTATATAAATACCTAGTGGAAACCTTAGCTACCATGTTTCCACCACTATATTTACTGCTTTATGGTGCCAAATCAGGATCAGTACACTACTTTCCAGAACAAAATCATTCATGGCAGTGAAGGAAAGCAACACAAGCCAAAATATTCAGCTGCAGCAGCAGCAGCAACAGCAGCAGCAGCAGCAAGAAGCTTGTGATCCTTGCAAGTCTTTTGGCCAAAAGTGCAGTCACTTGGTCAAGAAACAGCGTGCCAAATTCTACATTCTTCGCCGCTGCATCGCCATGCTTTTGTGTTGGCATGAGCGTGGTGAGACATAATAATACCAAGGCCTGCCACAGTATCATCCATCCCTTTCTCTATCATTGTAACATAAAGAGGGTACTATATTACTACTATGTCACACTGCAAATTGTTACTTTTTCTAATAGGATTATTATTGCATTCTGTGTAATTACGTCCAGCTAACATGTGAAAGAGATTAGATCTGTTTCAACTTTCGCAACCACTATTGAGTAGATCTTCTTTTTCACGTGTCAAGACGCTCTCAAACTTGCACATATGTTACAATGTTGGAGGTTTGGTTAGCTCATTGGGAGCTTAAGTCGCTATTCATCCCCATCTTTCTCCTTGAGAGTAATTTGTTTTGTCTTTTTCAGTTTCAAATGAGGAAAAAAGGGCTTTCACTGGTTGTCGTAATGATCCAGGGCATCATCGGATTCAACTGTTGATTTCTTTGTTTGCATAGAACCATGTCTTTATATTTCATCTGCCCAGATTTTATAAACAAACTTTACCATATATAATCAGAGATCTCGGGTGGTAGGTGAGAACCAAACCAGTGTAATCAATCACTGCTCCTAACTTTTGCTTCTTCGATGCATAGTTCTCACGGAAGATACCAATTGGAAACTAACTTGGCGTGATGTTTGTCTCAACTTCAATTTGCGGTGAAACCATTGCACGTGTATGCAGAAATATATTTGTTGTCTTTATTTAATAGGAAGAAATTGAGCTATCCAAATTTAATTTCCTTCACCTGGCCCTGCTTACAAACGATGTGAAAAGAAGAACACAGGTTAAAAAACGTTTGATTGTTGTGTGGTGATACAGTGTGGTTAGCAGGACTCGGCAGAGGTTCAAAACTGAAGAAGAGTTTAGAACAGTAGAGCATGTATGTATGTATGAGTTGTTTATGCATCAATTATCATGCAAACCAGACCTTCAAAATCCAATATGCATGATTAGTCAATTTTCAGACAATGGTCCTCGTGCTAAGGAAACATCAGACAAGATCAAGCCTCAATTTAATTTTATTTTTCCTCGGTTCCATCGCCATTCCCTTTTTTAACTTTCCACTTTTTCTATAATATTCTGTGTCCTCAAATCCCACACCGTCGTCTGTGCTTAAATGTTTCGATCCGGGCAACAAATAAAACTCTAAGTTTCAATTAATTAACGAACTTTTCGTTACGTAATACTAGTGTTTTAGATGCTAAATAGTAAGGCTGGGTCACAAAAGAAGAGCCCGAGAAGACACGGCAAGAAAGTTATCAATACCATTTTACGTAGGTGAAAATATGACTCAGCATGAAACAAACTTTACGTCTGGTTGCTTTCTCAAATCATTAGCTTAGCCATTTTCTTTTCCTTTTATCGAAAAGAGATTTTCTGTTCCACCCTTCCCATATCGATAGGGAAACAGTTTTTCCACTCTGAAATTTCAAGGAAGTTTCCCCCACAAAAATCTGTTGCAAACTTTTGAAACCCACGAAGTAAGAGTTGGGGGGGAAGAAAAAGTATCTAGCTAGGTTTATGGCTGAGCCCCTACTCCTCCGCCACTCTGAAGCTAGTGAGGAATATGATTAACCTTACCTAGGACCAACTCAAACATGTGTTACATTACACACATGTCCATCAAAAAAAACCTTTCAATATGAAGTTGAAGTTGGGTCCCTCAGAACCCAAACACTATTTTACCTCACGAGACACAAAAGCAATGATACCATGGTATTTTACCTCCACCGATTACTTGATATTTAGCAGAAGAGAACCCTCTTTGCATGGTGTGACAGAGTAGGGGTAGGAATAGGAATAGGTAGGATAGTAGGGTGGATGGGGATTAGTGAAGGGAGTGGGGTCATAAGAGGAGACAGCAAGAATCGTAATGAGAAGAAAAAAAAGAGTTGTGGGTAGCAGCCAAGGTGCTCCTCTGGCCCTCAGTCTGACCCTGACTCTCGTGCGCCCTCACTTCTCTTTTCCTGCACTGTGGGCTCTCTCCTTTTACATCCCTCAGGTCCCACATCTCTTCTCACTCTTTTTTCTCTCTTTGCACCAAATTATAATAACAAAATTTTATTCTCCCGTCCAAAATTCTTTTACATCTATTTCATAATATTTTTCACTTTTTTTTTTCAAATACAAATTTTATTTTTTATAAATATTTTATCCAGAGTTAAATAGTATTAAACATCCATTTACATAAAGATAAAATAAAATAGTAAAAAATAATATTAAATGGATCTAAAAGAATTTTGGGTCTCTTTTCTTTCCTATAATATATTTTCCTTCTTCCCTTCCAAGTATGAACGTGGGAGTAATTAATGAAATAGTGTAAAGCCTATTGACATAATTATAGAATGGACAATTCATAGTGGACTCTCAAAGAAAGTGATATAACAATTTTACAGCATTAATCATGTAAGGGTGTTCACATAAACTGTATAAATGAAGATAACTTCATTAATAACCCCAAAACAAAAGTCAGAGAGTCATTCTATATAGCATCTTATTCCATCATTTGACAAGCAAAAGGTATCATTTTTATATACTTTGCACTTGAAAAAGGTTAGAATTTACTAATCTAAACCTCTGCGTCATGATCTTGTAATTATGTCTTTCCTATCAAACTTCTACATGGTATCATTGGGTGTAAACAAGGTTTTAGTTATTTGTTTAATAGTTAAATATCAATTTTTTATTTTTTTATGAATAATTAGTTAGAAAAAGATTATATATATATATATATATAATATATAATATACATTAAAAAATTAACTTTACTGTAAATGTATAAACATTAGATTTAAAGATTATTTTATATATTTAGATTATTGACGATAAATAAGATTTGAGTTATATCATCATATTTATAAATAAAATTAAATATAGGATATGAGACGTACACATTCCGAACGTGTGTTTGTTTGATGCTTTTCCGTGACTGACCCTTTTTAAATTCGTTGTCCATTTGATCTGTGCCTCTTTTGGATAACAGCTTTCTAAAAATTAGATTCCCTATTCAAATTTCAACGACCCTCTTTTGTATTTGTTGAAAATAATTCAGGGTTTAAATGATTTCTAAGTGTTCAAACACCCAAGTGTACTCAAAATGGAATCCTATCCTATATTGAAAGAGAAATTATAAGTGCTTCTATCTATCCTATATACATCTCTCTACATTAAACTTTTTAAAATAAAATTAAAGGAATCTTTTTGTCTCTTTTCCCTCACACAAATATATAAAGCCTACTAAAATCACGCGTCAAACCATCTATCTCTGCAATGATTAATTCTTTATAGATTTTTAAAATGTAATTTTGGAATAGGTAATTTTGTTTTTGAAAATGGAATAGCTAATTTTAGGTATCGCTAATAAAAAAAGTGATTTAACTCTACTTAATAAATTTGTTTTTAAGAAAAAAACGAAATCTATTAAAATACAATGATATTTTTAAAATTATTTACACAACTACTTAAGTTTATATTTTTATATATTTTAGTTCTTTAAATAATTGAAGTTTATAATGATACAAGAACATTTTTTAAAATATTTACATGATCATAAACTTTAATAACTCTTAATATTAAAAAAAATAAAGTCTTTCAAAATGTAATGACATCTTTTAAAATATCTGTACAACTGTGAAGCCTATATTGATATAGACGCCAGTTATTTAAATAATTGGAATCTATAATGATGCAGTAACCAATTTAAAAAACAGAAGCTCGTATTGATATAAACTTAAGTCATCTAAAGAATCAAAACTATCATAATGTGATGACAATTTTGAAAATATTTTTTTAGCTATAAATTTCAATTTTTTTAAAAAACAAAACCTATAAATATACAAATATTTTTAAAAATATCATCCCTTTTTGAAAAATTATATTCATACAGTTAAATATAGACTTCGATTTAACCATGTGCATATGATAAATTTGTGAGGTTTTACCATATGCAAAAGTGTAGTTATATTTTTCTTCTCTGTGAGTGCAATTTGATGTTTTTTTCCATTATAATTTTCGTTGATATTCATTTTAAATTCCGTAAATTTAAAATAAGCTTGAATTATTGCGGTCTCAATACTATGCCTTGTCTCACAAGAATTCGGTCTGTAGTATGAAATCATTAAGAGCCCTATGTACGTGCTTGTTGCTATAGTTTTGACTGCTTCTACACTTTTCAGATCTAGCTTTGACGATTTTGCTTGAAAAAAGGGACTATTATAAAGTGAAATATGATATTAGTAATGTAATGAATATTTTTACAAGGAACAATTATTTTCTTGTTTATAGAAATTTAAGTATAAAACTAAATTTTATATTGAGTAGAAATAAAAAAATTGAAGAAAAAGATACATAAAATCAGTATTTTAATAACATTGGTTTCTTAAATAAATATTTTAAGAAAAAACAATATCATGAGTAATGATTTATCTTGATGATTTCCTATTTTATATATATACAGTGATATGAAAGCAGTAAATACTAATTTAAATCAGGCTAGCTAAAGAAGGCGTCAAATTGGAGCGACTTTAATTCTTAAACAAGTTAGTTAGGAAAATAGTAGATGACATATATAATGAAGAATAAATAAAGAGAAAATGAAATAAAAATAAAAACAAACAAAAGAAATTAACCATTGATTCTAACAATTATTGATCTAACGGACCAAAATATGTTTTCGACGCTATATATAGCCTCCGCGATATACTGTTTGTTTCCTTTTCTTTTGTCTCCTTCGACGGAGTTTTCACATTGTTTCGAAGGCTTTACAGGAAAATTTCTAACGTGAGAAAATAGAGTTCTCAATTGGTAAACGCAACAAACATATCTGAACACATCTTCAATTATATACAAATGTGCTAAGGTTTACATCACCTAAAGGTCAATATCAATTTAAATATTTATTCTTATTTTATTTTTCTAACTTCTAAATATATTTTAACGATAAAATTGTGACGGAATTATATGCTTTAAAACGAATGATATAGTGATCATAATTATATCACTTACGAATTTGAGATTGTAACTTAAATCGTTATATTTTCTATCTTGCAACTTTTGAAAGTTTTATTATATATTTTACTCTTTTTAATTACATACTCCACTTTTGCGGCACTCTTTTTTCTCCACAACATTTGTCTATGATTAATTTAAATAGATGGGTGACTGATACACATTTTTTTCAACATAATGTTTATTAAAAATTTGTTATTTTTAATATATCAAAATTAAAAAAATTAGATATCTATATTTAGAAGTTAAAAATATATTTAGAAATATATCAAAATAAAAAATAATAATTTTGATATCTATATTTAGAAATTAAAAATATATTTTAGGCTAATAATAAATATGTGAAAAAAGTGTGGAATGGAAGTGATAGTTTAGAAAAGGTTTAATACATTATTTCGTCCCTATTTTTAGAGATTTGGTTCAAAGTAATCTTACCTTTTAAAAAAGTTTAGTAAGACTCCATATTTCGTTAAAAAATGTTCAATCTAGTTCTTTCCGCTCACGCCGTTAAAAACATAACGGTGCAAATGCCACGACATCATCATCATCTCCAAACAAACCCTAATTTCTCTCTAAGAAATCCTAGCCGCCGCACCATCCAGCGTCATCACCCCCATCCTCGCCGACAGCCAAAATCTCCAACACATCACGCGCCACCACCAAAGCGTCTTCTCCCTTCTGTTGCACCTCCATCACCTTCGCATCTCACCTTCGTTCTCGCGCCACCACCCAACGCAATCCCTTGTTATGCCGCGAC